CCCAGCCTCCCAGAATCCACTACTACTTCCTCTCTCCTCTCTGACTCAGTCAATGGGATACGGGCTGCAAGTGACCCAGCTATGGCCAGTCAGGACCTGGCTGACAGCCAAGGTTCTGCTCCATCGTAAGAGCCATCATCGGACAGCCTTCCAGTGTGTCCAGCAGCGAGGGCTTGGGGGCTCCTCGCTCCTGGTGTCCTGCCCCACGCTGGGACTCTGCTGGACCACAGCTGACATGTGAGGCTGTAAGCAGCCCAGGCTTTGCAGAGACATCTGTCAACCAGCAAACACAGGCGGAAGCAGAGTCCCTGTGATCACCCGCCCAGTTATGCCCGGTTATCCAAACATCCGACGGCTGGCGGCAGGGAGGGTGGGCCTGGCGAACAGAAGGCAGCAGGCTGAGGGGAAGATACTTCATCAGAGGTGACTACAGGGGGCTGGGGATGCTTGCTTCACACGCACAACGCCCTGGGCTTGTTCACCCAGCATGGCATACCAGCACGTGGTAGTACTTGCCTGTCATCCCAGCATACGGGAGCTGGATGTAGGAGGGCCAGCAGCTTCCTAGAGAGGTGGGCACAGCTCCTGTGTGAGCCAGCGGCTCTACACACTGTCGAGGACATAGGATACCGCTAGACAACACCTAAGGTGGCGGTACGAGCTATTAATACTCAGATCCTCCTGACATGTAGAATTGCAGGCATGTGTTGCCATCCCCCGTTTTCGCAGGGCTGGGGATGGGACCCAGGGCCTCAAGCGTGCAAGGCAAGCACCCTAGGAGCTAGATAGGCTAGGGAGTTAGTTACTGTTACAGTTCGCATGCCTAGCTCAGGGGAAAGACAGACTCTTGTTTCCTTTCTATTGATTTGGTCGCCTTCCGCATCCAACAGACCTCAAGGGTATATGGCTCACTGCGTCCCTTCACACGTGCTGTGTGATCAAGAACAAATGACATAACCTCTTTGAGCTTAGTTTTTACTGCTGTTTCTCCTGCTAAAAAGGGTAGTTCAGGGACAGGGAGATAGATGGCTCGGTGAGTAAAGGCACTGGTGGCATAACTTCAATCCTATGACCCCACATAAAAAGCTAGACGCAGGGGTGTGCATCTGTGATCCCAGAACTCTGCCCACAAATGAGGAGCAGAGACCAGAGAATTGACCGGAAAGCTCACAGGCCAACCAGCTTGGAGTTCACAGCCAACAAGAGCAGGGACCCACCTCAACAAGGCAGAAGAACACTGGCTCCCCAATAGTTGTTCTCTGACCCCCACACGGGTGCCATGACACACACTAACTTGTGTGTGTGTGCATATGCACGCGTGCACATGTGTTAAGACACACCAAGATAAACTCAGCAAGTGATGACCCCTTTGACTTCCAGAGCCAACAGATCAGAAAAATCTTTTTTCTTAGTTATCAAATAAACTTTCAACAGAACTTCATTAATTCGTAAATCAGGGATTTGTTGTTTCTGTTTGTTTGTTTGTCTCCAAGACAGGCTCTCATGTGGTCTAAGTAGCTTCAAACTCTGGGCAGGGAAGGATGACCTTGAACTTCAGATCCTCCTGGAATTACAGGCATGCATCACCACACCCAGTGTATGCAGGGCTAGGGACGGGACCCAGGACCTCAAGCACATGACTCAAGCACCCTAGGAACTAAGCTACATCCCAGACCAATAAACTGCTCAGCCCATAAAGCATGAACAGTTTCGATCTGTGCCTAGTTTTACAGGAACAAAGCCAACACATCTGTAAATCCTGTGAGGATGGAAAAGGACAGCTTCTCTTACCCTGCATGACTGGCACTATCCCTGTGGTCCTAGCCTGTTAGAATCCCACAGACATTTGCCCTCTCATGCCTGTGAGTAGCTAGACACTGCTCCCAGACGTGCCAACAGGAAGTCCCCATGCCTGTTTATGCGTCCGGCTCCTCATCCCTCCAGAGCAGCTGGACTTGAAGGTTTGGCACTGCTGGAGCTTGTTATTACATGTTATTACATGGCACCAGTGCCTGTTCCCACGACAGAAATTAAACAGCGACTCAGGTAAATGATCTTTGGCTACGGAGCGTGCCCCTGCAGAGCTTATTACGTCCAGGACCAGAGGTGCTCTAGAAGCAAGATGAGGACCATCCCTGGATGGTCTGAACTTGTCTCTCATCACCGCACCCGGCAACTGTCTAGCGTCTCAGACAAGAGCTCCTGGAGCCCACCACACCTGAGCTGTGCTGTGGATAGATATCTCCACTAAGGAAGGAAGGAAAGAGGCCTGGGTGACCCCAGACTGCATTCTTGATGAAGACAGGAAGCCTACCCTTTGGCTCCACAACACCACTGAAGCTGTGAATTACAGCAGTGTGGAAGTTTTTGTATGTATGTATGTATGTATATATGTATGTATGTATGTATTGTTTTCAATGTCATAGCTATCCTGGAAAAAGTGAGACCTGAATAGAAAGAGAAGAACCTAACCCAGACAAGGAGAGGGTATGAAGCCGGAGATCCTGGCACCTGGGAGGTAGAGGCAGGAAGATCAGGAACTCAAGCCCACTCTCCAGTGGTTTAAAGAATAGCCTGGCTACAGAGACCAAGAAGGTGGGGTTGATTAGGCAGAGGGGAAGGAAGTTTGGTGGGAGAGGAGGGAGGGAAAAAAGGGGGTGCAAGGAATTGGACTCTCTCAATGCTCACCCCTGGACGGCAGAAAGATGGGTCCCCTGAGGACGGTCTGCGCTGGTCTCTGTTCTTTTCCATTAACCTACTTTGCTGTTACTGAAACAAGGTCTCACGCAGCCTAGCCTCGTCTCAAACTTGCCATGAAGCCAAAGATGACGCCTGATCCACCTGCCTCTACTCTGAAAGTGCAGGAATTACAGGCATGTGCCATCATGCCTGGTTTATAGGGTGCTGGGGATAGAACCCAGGGGGGTCTCTTACACACCAGGCAAGTGCTTCATAGCCCCGAGCCCCCATCAACTTCGATGAACCCAAAGAGTCAACATGTGGCTTCTGTTGAGGACTTAAGCGGGGACCCGGTATTAACCATGGCAACTCCCCACAAGGAGCCCCCAGGAAGGTCAGACATCTGGAGTCACAAACCTGCCAGCCACTCCCTAACACATTTCCGAAGGACCCTATCTATCGTCCTAACCGGGGCCCCTCTGGTGGGCTGCCCTGAGCATCTGCTACTTCGGGGCAGAGCATCTGTGGCAAGGGGCAGCCTCTGCTCCTATCACTGGATCCGTTACCTTTGCTGATGCTGAAGCGAAACACCAGGCAATAGCACCCGAGGGAGGGAGTTAGAGGGCACAGTCCAACACGGCAGGAAGGCAGGCAGGCAGGAGCATGAGGCAGCTGCTGGTCGGTCGCATGGCACCCACAGTCAGGAGACGGAGAACGTGGAATGCTTGCTCCAGATCACTTTCTTCGCTTTACTCCATCCAGGGCCCCAGTCCGTGGGATGGTGCTCCCCACATTTGGGGTGGCTCTTTCCACGTCAACTGAACTAATCTGAACTCCCTCGCAGACATGCCCAAAGGTTTGTCTCCTGGGAGAGTCCTGTCAACAATCAGCATTAAGCATCACAGTCACCCTAACCGTGATTCTGTGGCCCTCTGCTGCTGGAAGTGTCCCACTGCCAGTAGGTCAGTGTGTCCCAGGCAATAATCCCTTCACCCTGCTTCAGGACAGGACACTGATGTTTTGTCCAAGCATCACTGGCATTGTGAGAACATGAACTTGGCTCGCTGCCCAGGTCTTAGGCACCAAAGTCTATCTTCAAGTCAGAGACACGGGATCCAGAGAAAGCTCATGAAGGGACGGCCACTGCCCAGGTCACCATGTCCTGACCCTGTGGAGTCAAAGGCTTACAGGAACACCCACTGCATAGCACAGACAGTGGCCCAGCCCAAGGAAAGGGCTGGCTGAGTACAGTGAGGCTCAACCCTGACTTCCAACACAAGCGCCACCTCGTTGGGTGGCCCAGACCAGTCATCCCAACTTTCCCATCTGTAATAAGGGCATGGCACTTGTTTCTGGGAGTCAACGGAGGGCTGGCTGGGGCAAAGCAGAGAAATGTGGTTTCTAGTCCCCTGGAAAGTGGGGAGACCCCCTCAAACATGAGTCATCAGACACTGATTGATAGCCCAAGCCAGAGTGAGGCTCCCCGGCCCCTTCATTGGCCAGAAGTGAGCCAGAGATCTCCGAGCCCACACCAGATGCTCTTCTCTTCGATTTGCTCAGCTAAGCCGCAAGCTCATTCCTAATTTGGACATTTTTTTTTCCCTCCTGACTTCCAAGCAAAGTAGGAAAACACACATCCCAGGCCATGCTTCTAACTCCATCCGTGAAGCCCAGGGGACATCTGTACTCTCGTGACCTCTGCCTAGAAGCCCTCACGGCAACCCTGTCCCCATCACACACCGGTGGCCAAGACATCAGTGAGCCACAGTAGAATAGCCTGCCAGCCCAGCAGGGGACAGGTCACTATAAGTGTGGTGCTTAGGACCCTGAAAGCTCTTGCTTGCTGCATTTCTCTGGGGAGGGGAGGTCTAGGTTTTCTTGGCCAGCCATGTGAAACCACAGAGCGGCCACACACTAGCTACTGACTCGGCACATGGCAACCCCTTTGAAACTCCTCTTGGTCACAAAAACAGATGGAGAAAGCATGTACTTAAGCCACCTCAGCAAATTGTCCCCTGGCCTCTAGGGACTTGCATGCCCTGGGAAGACGGGGGATGGGGCACCACCTTAGAGGAGGCTACAGAAGGCTGTCCCTAGCAGCTGTTCGGGGACACTGGCAGGTCTAAGGAAAAGTCAGCCCTTCCCCACTTCCTGGAGAGAGCCATTCCCCCCCCCCTCTTCATTCTGGCCCCCACGCCCTTTCTTTTTCCAGGAAGTTCTGGCCAGCACAGAACTCTTTCAAAGAGAAACATGCATGTACACACACACACACCATGTGTGGCAACATTCACCTCGCGACACTGCATCCATGACCAGCCTACCTGAGGTTGCAGGATGGGCACCAGGCCATGTGGGCCCCTGGGGGAGCCGAGGGCAGCTCCCTCCTCCGGCACAGGCCACCAGCTCACTCTCTGCCTCTCCATCAGCCAGTGACGTGACACAGAGGGGAACTAATGTTCACCAGCTGGCCTGGTGCTTTAACCCTCTCAGCTTCCAGCGAGTTTGGCAGCCAACCAAGCCGAAAGCGCGCGCTCACGGTCTCCCTCGCAGGGGCCCCCGCGAACGGCTCACTGCAAATGTAGCAGGGCAGCTGAAGGCTCATATGAACTGGCTGGCGATGTACAGTCTGGGGCATGTGATGGGGACAGGAACTGACCCAAATCCACACTCACTCCCCCTGCCTGGGTTCTAACGGAGCCAAGGAGAGCACAGAACCAACTAAGACAAATTTAGAAGATTAAAGGGTCCAGCCTAGACCTTTCCTTGGCAGCCACTCCAGCAAAAGAGCCAACAATCTCTAGATTCAGTGAGTCTCAGCTGCCCCCAAGCTCTCTGCCTATGCCTACACACAGCTCTGTGCCCCACTTCCCAGCTCAAGGAACTCTGTCCTGGTTGGGTTTCTGGCTTTTTTATTTGTTTTTGTCAAGCTGACACAAGCTAGAGTTATCTGAGAAGAGGGAACCAGAATCGAGAAAGTCCCTCCATAGAACTGGCCTCGCGGCAAACCGGTGAGACGGTTTCTTGATGAATGGTTGCTATAGGAGGACCCAGCTCGCAGTGGGCAGTGTCATCCCTGGGTAGGTGCTCCTGGGGTGTCTAAGAAAGCAAACTGAGCAAGCCAGTGAGCAGCATTCCTTCATGGCCTCCAAGGACTTCAGTTCATGCCCTGACTTCCCTCAGTGACGGGTGTGAGCCGAGGGTTGTAAGCTGACACAAAGCCTTTCTGTCATGGCGTTTCATCACAGCAACAGAAATCCCGACTAAGACAAGCTCCTCTGCATCCTCAAGAGCAGCCCTTCCTACTCCTGAAGACTTCCCTGCCTCTCTTCCCCCAGGGTGGGAAGCGTAGTGGGAACTAAGCCTTCTTAGAGCACTTAACACCCAGAAGCCCTGTCCAGTCCCCATGCTTTCCAGCCTCTTCTCTCGGCTGACGACAGGCTTGCTGCGAGGTGGAGATAGGGAGAAACTTCCCCCCAACAGTAATGAACATAATGGACATAGTGGCTCTGAAAGTCAGCTGCTGATACCTCAGGTTGCTTAGCATTGAGAACAAAGGGCATGGCACGGGGTTCTCTGGGCCTGCCACTGGGGTTCACCTGCTGGCAAAAAAAAAAAAAAAAAAAAAAAAAAAAAAAGAAAGAAAGAAAAAAGAAAAGACAAAGGGAGAAGAGACTCAAAACTCTCAAGGAAAGAGCGCTCCCTGAAGGTCAGTCAACTCTGGAAGCCACTTCCTAACTCGGGGCTGCTAGGTACCTCCAAACAAACACACCGGGTGGGGTGTGTTGCTTCCTTAGAGCCAGGTGGAGGGCACGTGCCTATAATCCTGGCATGCAGAGGCAGAGGCAGGAGAATCATCCTTCGAGGACAGCCTAATCTACACACTGAGTTCCAAGCAGGCCAAGGCAACATGAGGGACCCCGTCTCAAACAACAAAACGGGGCTGGGGTAATAGATAGCTCGGTCATTAAAGCATGAGGCCTGATTCTATCTTCATAGTTAGATCAAAATATAAAGCCAAGTACGGCGGAGGATGCACACACGCATGCATGCAGGCACACAGGCATGCACGCGCACACACGCACGCGTACACACACACACACACACACACACACACACACACACACCCCATTGGCAAGATGGCTCCATGGATAAAGGCACTACATCTAATGACCCTGATGGAACCACATGGAGGAAGGAGAGAACCAACCCCTGAAAAATTGTCCTCTGACCTCCAAAAATATGCCATGGCATGCACATGCCCATCCCCCTAAATTAATCAATCAATCAATCAATCAATCAACCAAACAAAGCACATAAAGAGACAAGCACCCCTGGGCCCTAATCTCCACGCCTTAAGGGCCTGGAATAACGGACGCCCTAGGCCTTGCTCAGGACAAGTCTCTCAGCAGGAACCAAGCTGCTTGTATCCCAGCACACGGGTAAATGACAATGGCAAAGAGCAGGGGTCATGGCCACTTTCCAGAAGCAGGTTGTCACAGGAAGTAGGGTGCCGGTGGGGCACTACAGAAGAAGGCATTCCCTAGAGGGTTCAGGCAGACTCAAGTTCAAATCCGCACTAAAGCACTTAGTAAGCGGGCGGCCTTGGCTGCCTGCTAACCAGCAGCCTTCCATAGACATCCAAACGCCTTTGGAATTAAGCACAGGTGGCTAATCAGATCTGGCCTGGAAGGAGCCAGGGAACAGGAGGAGGCAACGCATTTATGGGGACACACGAACAGCTTCGTCCTTCGGCTCCTATCTGCTAGGCTGGCAAGCTTGTTACCTCACCAGAGCCGCTAGGGAAGAGGCTGGGCCCTGGCAGCCGTCACAAGCCAATTAAACGGACTAGTAATGGTGAAAAGCAGAGAAAGGAGCTCTGTTCACGGTGGCTACACTGGATTGAGGAACACAGAGGGTCAGTGACACATCTCAAGTCCATTCTGGGGTCCTGAAATGAGGTTTCGGTTTAAATAGCGAGCCAAAGGTGTGCATAGCCAAATACATGCATAGTCCTGCTCAGAGTGTAGTCCCTCCCACCATGACTTGTGTGCCTCAGCCCTAGGCCTCCTGAAAAGTGGTTGCACGAATTGTCAGAACTGTGAAATCCCTTCCTGGCCCACCAGGTCTTCCTCTGGCCGGCACTTAGCCTTTCCCTTCCTTCTAGGACTGTTAGAAGGTCAGGGCTGGGTGTCAGGTGGCTTTGAGAAGGAAGAAGGGAGTCTCGGGCCCGCAGCCAGAGGCCCAACTTTCTCCCTGCTTGTCTAGCCAGCAGCCTTGTAGAGTTAGGGTGCCAGGGTTGTGGGATATTTGTACACCATGTGAAGATGTATTGCTGTGACTGGTATAATAAAAAGCTCAATGGCCAATAGCGAGGCAGGAGAGAATAGGCGGGGCTTCCGGAAAGAGAAAGGAAGAATCTAGGCAAGTGAATTTCACCAGTAGACTCAGAGCAGGTTGCATGTGCCTTACTGAGGAGAGGTAATCAAGCCATGTGGCAGAACATAGCTTTAAAAATGGGTTAATTAACTTATAAGAGCCCAAGCTAAAGGCCACGCTTTCATAATTAATAATGAGTCTCTGTGTCATTATTCGGGGGCTGCCAATCCAAATATAGTCTGACAAGGAAGCTTACTACATGCCAGGGCCTGGTTTGGTTCACTGAGTGTAGTAACAGAGCCTTCTTTGGGCCCAACAGGAGAACGGTCAATCACACTGCACTGATGGCCTCTAGGCCAGACCCTGCCATCACCACACCACACAGCCCCTCATGAAGACAGAGGTGACTCTCTTTCTTGGATGAAGAACCAAACTCCTCAACGTGCCCACTGTCCCAAAGCCAGATTTAGGTCTGTCGCTGTCAGGGCAAGAGTCCCCAGCTCTGTGATGGCTAGTCTTGGTTGTCAACTGATGGCATCGGAAATTACCTAAAACCCAAGCAGCCCGGCACACCTGTGAGGGCTTTCTCTTGGCCATTTGAGACAGAAGAGCCACCATAAGTCCAGAGCATTTGCAATCAGAAGACCCACCCTAAATCTGGGCCACACCTTGTGTCGGCAGCCCACATGAAAGGGCGTGGAAGAAAGCTTTTGCTTTTTGCCTTCTTGCCCTCACTCTGGCTGCCCAGGTCATCTGTCCCATCCCTGGGGCGTTCCTTCACTGGCGTTAGAAGCTGCTTCTTCAGAATTCCAAAGAAGACTGAAGACTGGCAGCTCTCAAGGACCAGAGTGGAGCTACTGAGACATTGAGCCTCCTCCAGTGAACAATGAACGGCTCCTTGGCCTTTCCGCCGGGGGACAGTCGAGGTTGGATACTCAGACCACTGCCTGTGAGCCACTCTAACAAACCCCATACATACTAGTACATATTCATTCATTTTATCAACCTGTTCCTTTAGAGAAACCTGACTACTACAGACACACACACATACCCAAGCTTACAGGCGTACATTACTACCCCAAGTGATGGATACTGGGGTTCCTTAGAGTTCTGGCTTTTGTCAACATTTCTCCGTCAGAGGCCAGGCGCTGGGGTTGGACAGGCCTGAAGGGGGGAGGCATATAAGACTTGCAGAGGGCACAGGGTGGCACGGAGGGGGTAGAGGCAGAAGAACAAAGGATTTGGGAGGAGACTCCCCCGCATCCAACCCTTGTCTCCCATTCACTCCCCTACACCAGCATCCAGACTCTCCGAAGACAAGTCTAGAGGAGGTGAGAAGGGGAACTATAAAGGACCTCGAGCTGGCTGGAGCACAGGACTCTACACAGTGATGCCTGGTGGTCCCACTCCCTTAGGAGGACGGAAATGAGGCATTTAGGGTTCAGCCACTGGTCCATTCGGGTCAAGGGGGAGGGGATGTCAGACAGACGAGGGGATCTGGGGTGTCCAGATGAGCAGGTCTGTGGCTGGTGACACACGGGCCCAAAGAACGCAGATTTGGTGCCATGGTGCCTGGGAGCCACAGCAGACAGCAAGCTAGCAATGGCCAACATGATCCATGCATGGGCGGGAAGGAAGGGCAAGCACTGCGATGGGACATGTGCCAGTTTGCCGCAGCGGGTCCCAACGTGTAGGTCACAGGTGGCCGAAGACCACAGAAAACAGGTATGTACGTGACGATTCATAGCGGCGGCAAAAGTGCAGTTATGAAGCAGCATGAAAATAACGTTATGGCAGGGGTCACCACCACCAGAGGAACTGTATTAAGGGTCCCAGCAGTGGGAAGGCTGAGAACCTCCAGCCTCTGGAGGGCAGGGAGTCAGGCTTATTCTCGCTCCACCCCCAACTTTGGGACAGGATGGATAGGCAGATGGCAGGTGATTTGCAGCTCCCACTACAGAGAGGTAGGCTGCCGGGGTGGCTCCATAAAAGGCCGAATGCTTTCATTTCCTGGCCTTTCCGTGTCCATTTATGAGTAAACACTTCTCGATAAAGACTTACCATCTGCAGAGACCCCTTCATACCCCAAAGGTAAGGGTTTAAACGGCTTGGAAATTGCCGTTACTTATCTTTACAATGGCTACATCCCGTGTCCCTCTCCCCGAGTATATTTTCTGTG